TCTGTTTATGTTTATTTCAAATGAATTATTATTATATTTCCTTCGATCCATCTCATTCTATTATATTTTACTGTACTTTTATCACTAATTAAAACACAATACCAAAGACATGACTCTCTTGTGGGTTTCTTTTTATTATTTTTAAATATAATAATAATATTTTTTAACAAACATTTAACTTTTTCAGATGAAAATTATAATTTACTTTTGCTAGATTATTTAATGTTACAATGATTAATTTTCAATAAAAATAAATTACTTAATTTTAAAAAACGTGTATAAATGCTTTTAGCACCAACAAATATTTTTAATTCTTATGAATAATCTGAGTATGAATTTTATTTTTCTGACTCAAAGTTTAACTTTTTTTTTTAAACTGAAAGTGAAATAAATAAATAAAACGAAAAATATCAATAACCATACAAAACATTGATAAAACATACTTCTTTTTAAGAACCAAATTTGTCGATGATAAACATACTTTCGAAAAAGTACAAAACATGAAATAATTTTTTTTCAATATACATTTTTTTACTTTTACATTTTTGTAAAATTATTATAAAAAAATTAACAAGTCCTTAGGATGAAAATTTCAAAGCATTATTATTACCATATTAAAAAAAATTAAAATATAACCGAGAAAATAAATAAATTATGAGAAGCCAGGATCCTGGTCATTAGATCGTTTCTAAATTTATGAGATATGGCTTGGCTTGTACGAAGATGTTAAAGGGGTATTAGATTCCTAAATAAGTGTTTGACTTGCTTGTTCTTGATTTTGAGTTGTGTCCTCTGTATTATCAGCATGTGAATCCATTTGTGATGCCATAAAGACAAACTTTTGGGTGAGTGTTTGATGAAAGTTTACAAATTGATTAGGTTTAATCCTGTTCTAAAGGATTTGGAAGTAAAGATAAAAATATTTTCTTAATGCAACGATTGTCTAAATCCAAACACCAAACACAGAGTACTGCACCAAATGATGCAAATATATTCAGAAAACACAGAAGAAAATGAGTAAACTAAAATTTAGAGAATGAATCACTGCAGAATAAGTTCTGAGGAAACTGGTGTCTATGAACGCCATGACCTATCAGAGGAACATGATCACTGCAATATCCTCCTAAAAAACATCTACCATATAAGTTTAGTTTTCAAATCCATTTAAAAGCGTGATTCATCACCAAAATCATCGATCCTAATGCCGAATTTGGAAAAAAGTTGCTAAATAACTTAAACAGCACTCAAAGTAAAACAAGATAGTTATTATTCTGAGTGTTCTAACTCCCAGACTAGTTATTAGGTAATTTGAACCCATTGGGACTTTGATACAGAAACATTTAACCCAAAATGACAAAGTGCCAATTCAAGAAACTGTGAACATCACATGGATTCAATGTAAACAAATTGACAAGACGAAAAGAAAAGAGAGATTAGAAAAAGCACACAAGAGAGAGGAGAATTTCGCTAAAAGCAACTCGAAGGTGATTTTATAGCAAAAGTAGATAAAATTGAATCCCATAAGCATAAGCAGAACAAGTAGAAGAGAGAGATGAGATCAAAAAACTACGCGAAACTGAGGCGCGTTGGACTGAGTTGCTGGGAGGATCTCCCAGCGGCACGGCTCGAAGTCTTCAGATACGGGGCAGTAGCCGGCTAGCGTGACCTTGTCGTTGGAGGCGGCGACGGAGCCGAACTCGAAAACCGACACGGTGGCGTTGGGTGGTCGGGGAACCTCGACGGCGCCGTTCATGCCTGGGGCCTCAGCGAGGGGTTTGGTTGTGTCTGCGGCATTGGATTTGGGAATTGAGGAGGATTGGGAATTTTGTTGGGGTTTATTCCCCTTTCGCCACCACAGTAAACCCATGCTTTGTTTTTGGCTAAGGTTGTCTTCTCTAGAACTTGGGCTGTGTTATGTGTAATGCCTGCTCCTAACCTAATCTTTTTTGTTTAAGATTCTAGACTAAATTAATAATAGGAGCAGAGGAGAGGAGAGAGAGAAAATCAGAAGGTGTCTGGAAGAGCAGAGGAGAGAGAAAAGAAGCGTGGCCACGTCAGCGCGGAGTTAACACCGTTATTACCAACTTAACGGACAGGACTAAATTCATACACTTTTCATAATATAGGGACCTAATGTCTTCATTTTTAAAATCGGGTACTAAACAGCAATTCACCTCTTAACATGGGGACTAAGTAGGTAATTAAGCCAATTCAAAAATACATTTAAGAATGTTAAATATAAAATACTTACATAATGAGGAATCTAAAACCATTATGTCTTTTTCATTCATCCTTAGTTTATGCAACCATTGAATATGCATTGAGATGCATCATGTGTCACACTTTTTTATATTATATTTCTTCCCACGGATGTAGTCCCTATGGTGTGGAGGAAGGAGGAAGAACGCCTCACGACCCGGTAAAGGAGATGAAGGAGAAAGATTAGGATTTTAATAATTTTTTAATAGAGGGTGTTAAAGACATTTCACTATGCTATGAGGTGTAAAGAGAAAACTTCAAGCTGCATGAAGAAATGGCTAACACAATAAGATGATTTGAGCTATTTCTTTTTAGACATTGTTTCTTAGACATAGTTTCCTCTTGCTCTCAAATGTCAAAATTACAGCTTTATATATTATTTTATTAAAACTAAGAATTGTAGAATTTGAAATATACTGTATTTTAATTTGCGAGTATTATATTTTGAAATGTATAGTTTGGAATATATATTTTGTATTTTGAATGGTATAATTTAAAAGAAATTTTATATTTTATATTTTTGATGGTATATTTTAAAATATATTTTTTATATTTTAATAATATAAATTTGTATTTTAATACAAACATTTTAGAATAAAGTTTTACATTCTGAATTATATATTATGAAAGCCCTTGTGATTAACAGTCCAGAACAGAAAATGAATCCTAAACCAAAATATAAATTGGAATGTTCAACTTTATACTAAGTGCAAGTTGAAATTACACATTATGAATTTTATTGTGTAGCTTGTGCGAGTGGCATCATTATAGTACAACTATTTTTATATTAATATCTAATCACACATTAGCATATATTTTTTATAATAACTTCTTAAACATTTTTAGTTAGTTTATATAAATTATTTGTACTTTCAACAAAATCTTATCGTAAAAGAAAAAAAAAACAATAGTATACAAAGGTCAAACATCATTTCATCGATAATTTTTGAAGCAGTTCAGGTAATGAAACTGGAAGAGTAGTGTCGACCCTTATCCACTCTTCTGTCTTCTGTTCTGCTGGTGGGCAAATCATCCAAAGCTTTAATTCAAAGATCTTCTTTCGCGAATCCAACTTCCAAAATCTCAACTTTACATAATGCTTTCAAATTCAATGTTCATTGCTTCTTCTGTGTTTTCGCCACCACCTTCCACCCTCTTTGGTTCCCACAAGATTTGTTCTTCCTTCAAAACCATCTCAAAACAAAGCCACGTATTTCTCCACAGGAACCCCTTTTTCCTGCACCACTTGAATTTGGGTTCAAAAAGGGCACTCTCTTCAGTTTGCTTCTCCAACGCTGGAGACAAGGCACTCTGTTTTCTCATCTTTGTTTTTTATTTTTCTATTTTTTTCCTATGCAATTACTTTCCCGGAATTTCAGTTTATATAAGTTATCGTGGGAATTGTTGTTTGATGCTATATCATTTCCGATGCTTCATGATTAAGAAGTGTTTGACTTTTCTATGCTACTTGTGACAAGCTAAGAAAATGAAGGAGAAAAAACATATTTTTTTAATGTGGGTATCTGGTGATTGGTTTTTCAGTTTATTCAATACCAAATTTAAATCTACTATGATGATATGATTCCCTTTGCATGAGTGAATGTGAGTGCATTTCAGTTTCACCTGAGTTATAGGTCTTTATGTTATTTGTTTTTGTTTACAATAAACATATGAAAGAATTTAGTTTCACACATTGCTTATGAAGATTTTTGCACTGTTCATCAATTATGGATCTCTCATGTATTATTTAAGTAATTATTACTTTTGTCAGTAATCTTTGCATGCATGATAATGTACTATTGATTGATGATGTAAACACCTTTTATATTATCAATAGATTCTAATCATATTCTTTATAAATAATTGTATAAATTACTTGTATTGTTCTTTGTATTTGTCTGTTTTTCAGGAATCGGGATTGGAATGGCCTATTCTGAGGCGATGGGAGGTGCCTTGGGAATGGCAAACAGTTTCATTGACCTCCCTTGCTTGTGGATTGGGGTGTGTTTTGAATAGCTGTTATGATTTCATATCAAAGTTGAAATAATGTAAATCTACTGAGAAAATGTCATCTGGGGACTTCTTACCTACACAAGTTATAATTTATTTCTGTGTTACTGTTTGTGGTGTATTTTGGGCCATTAATTTATTCCCAGGCAGTTTTGTGTTGACAGGTTTGACTGAAGCAATTGCTCTTCCATATCTTGGGATCAAACTTGATGTGCTAAGTTTAGATGATAAGGCAGAGATACTTTTGTTAGATCAGGGGTATGTTATTCCTTTGGACTCTCATACCTTCGTAATTCATAAAGTTGGTTGGTAAATTTTGAAACTACTTCCACTTTTTTGCTAATGATTTTTCTTGGATGAGTCATTGATTTGCTGAAAAGATGTGAAGCTACATTTTACTTAGGAAGATCACTTGGTGTTCTTGGAATCTACATCCTATGATTCAATTACTTCTTGCTCAAAACTTGCATCCTACTGAAATGTTTGAAGGCTGGCTTACTTTGTAAAGTTTGGTTTTATTGAATTTTAGAGGGGGATTTGAAAAGGGAGGAGAGAGGGTTCTGCATATAATCCACATATGTAGGTTCTTGATAGACTTAGGGAACGTTTGGTTGGCGGAAAATTTGTTCATACCTTAGAATGAATTAGTTAGTAATATGGTCATTTTTTTAGTAAATTTTTTATTTTAAATTGGGAAAGTTAGATTCCCACCTCCTCCATGACAAATTTTTTGTGATAAACTTGGCTAAAAGCCATTCCCACGAAACATAGTTCCTTGAGGATGTTATTTTTTAAAAGGTAAACATACTTTCCCAATCTCAGTTTTCCAGGAAACTAAAAGTTTCTATTTCGTAGGCTAATATTGTTGGAAAACCACCTTAATTACGGTCATCCATGCCCTACCTTGGTTGTGACTTTTTTGGGGGCCGCTTTAATTTTTCTCAAGGGTGGAGTTTTAGTCTCACATTCACAATATGATTGTAGAGCTTATACAGCTTGGCCAACCCTCACCTTGCAAGTGGACATCATGGGGGTTGAATTAGGTCGTAATCCCAAATTCTATAATGTATCAAAGCCTATTCTATATCCATTATTGGGTCACTTGCATTTGCCACACTTTAGCAACCTTGTGTGAGAGGGGGAGTGTTGGGAGGCCACCTTAATTTTGTTGACCCTTGGCCTTCCTTAGTTGTGCCTCTTTGGGGTTGCCTTAATTGCAACTAAATAGTGGTTTAGTTTCACATAAAGCTTTGACAATCCTTACCTTATAAGCCGATTTCATAGATTGACTTTGGTCTTGAGCCCAAATATTAGGAAAGATTAATAGAGTGCACTCTGTAGACAATAATACTCATGATTACTAAATGCATTTTATCATGTGATATGTGAACATACTGTTTCTAAGTGCATTAACTGTTATTATCATCATTATTTCCAATTAGCTTTAAACTTTAGTACGGTCTACTAGATCAATCTGTAAGTAATAAAAGTATGAAACACCTTTGGCCTTTCTACTGTCTGTACATAATAATTATTCCAATTTTCTTTCTGGTGCTAAAGAAGTATGTAAGGTTTTGGATTACTTTCTTAGTTTCTCCTATTATTTGTCTTGGCAGAATAACAACTGCTGTTATACTTGGAATCATATATAGTGTTGCCAACACTTTCCAGCCACTTCCTGAAGACTTGTTCAAATACGGTATTATCATTTAAGAGCCTTTCAATTACGTCTAGATATGGACAAAAAGGTTTTCAGTGTGAGCAATATTTGTGTGAGGCTGAGTATGGTGCATCTAAAGCTCAAAATAATATTAAGATAACTTCAACATGGATTTCAGTACAAGCTTGATTATTATTTTAATACATCCAGAGCTGTTTATTGACTGCACTTATAGACACTGTGCTCATGCAAAAGTTATTCCTCGATGTTTATATTAATGGCTGGCATCAAACCTTAAGACTAGAAAAAGTATTATGCATTTACTGAGGTTCACTACAACCAATACAAACCAGTTTGTGCATGCTTATCTCTGTATGTTGGTTTAGATCTCATTTTAATCCGATATCTAGTTTGCAATTGGCTTCTATTTGGAAGAATTAGAACTTGTTACACGCTGATGCTTTTCCATTCAATGGTAAAAACATTGTTACAGATTTGAGGGAACCTTTCAATCTTCAAAAGGGTTGGCTTTTTTGGGCTGGGGTTGGACTTGTTAGTGCCATAATTGCCATTGCATTGACCGGAGTTGCCGTGTCTTTCTTCAGTGGAGAAACCCCACAAAGAGAGGTGTATGCTCTATTTTTCAAATTTTACTGGCCGATGCACATGTAATTATTAGTTTCCTTCTATATGTTCAACTATTTTCTTTGTAGCATGGGAGGAGGCAATTTAGGTTCACTGATTTCCAATAGCATCAGTATTGAACCACTGATCTTAGAATTACATCATAGCAGTTTATAGTATGTTGTCGACTATATCTTGCTCTTGTACCTTAGCAGAATTAATCTGTCTTGATAGGAGTATTACTTTGTGCTGTTAAAGTTTTCCTTTTATAACAGTGTTTAATTCTTTTTCTGGACTTTAAACCATGTGGGTATCTCTTATATGCTTCTATAAACTGCTTTTCAGACTGATGCTCTTGTTCGCTTGCTTCCATTAATTGGATCTTCAAATCTAAGGTAATTTAAGATATTCCGTTCCCTTATTTAAAATTGCAGTTGCTGCTTCAGTTATGCTTTGATAACTTGCAGTAAAGTGAGCCAAATTGTAGTTGCAGAGCTATTTAAAACCACAATATTGTGGTTGTGGACTGGAATTTCATAGTCCCTCCTATCAATGAAAGGAATTTTTCAAAGGTTTCCATCTAGGTTCTGTATGCCAGATTTTCAAGCAAGTGATTGATTCTGTTTCTTTTCATTGTAGTACTGTCTGCTTAGTGGGCATCACAGGTGTTCTTGCTCCACTCCTTGAGGAGACTGTATTTAGAGGATTTTTTATGACTTCTCTGACTAAGTGGTATTGGTTACCTTCATATCTTTTCCTTTCTATTTGAGACCTGTTGATTTGTTGATTAAGTTTTTTCCCCTTTTCAATTTTACCGTTCTTTCATTTCCATATACCATAATAGGTCATGTTAAAGAAACTACAGCTTGCCTTGAAAATGGGACTTTTCCCTTTTTGAATTAGATATACAATGGCAAGATAATTGAACAGATAAGGCTTCAACAAGTGCAGGCTTCAACAATTGTGTTGGTCTGAGTTATTTGGATTAGCAATGTTAGGCAGAATCAAAGCTTGAAATTTCTCTTATGCTTTCTTTGTGAAAAATTATTTATATAAGTGAATATACTTGTATGCAAAATTTGTAGATTTAGCTTAATGAGATGCATTCATGGATGCCTCAACTCAATTGCTGAAGCATGATTTTGTGAATTGATTGTTACCGGTGCAATTTTTCTCATTCACCAGGGTTCCTACACCAGTTGCTGTTGTCATTAGCGCCAGTGTGTTTGCCCTTGCACATCTCACTCCTGGAGAATTTCCACAGTTGTTTGTTCTAGGTATGGTGTAATTCATGACAAGTTGATCTTCAGAAATGGAAACAAGGAAATTTTCTATTACAATGTTTAGGTAGATATTGAATACACAATAATTTAATTTGAACAAGGGGGAAAAGTGAAAAAAAGAAGGGTCTTTTAATTTCAGAAGTTGTTTTATTCTTGAATGATGATATTGTTCTTCCACATACTGTGAAGAAAATAACAGAAACTTGTGACATACATAGGGACTGCTTTGGGGTTTTCATATGCTCAAACTCACAACCTTCTCACTCCAATCACTATCCATGCCTTCTGGAATTCGGGAGTGATATTATTTCTTACTTTTCTGCAGGTATTTATTGTAACTCTATGTTTGCAAATTCTGTTAGTTTTTACCATCAACTTTTATTCAACAATAAGAATGCTTCTTCTGCTGTTTGTCTGTATAGCTTCAAGGGTACGATATCAGAGAATTGTTGCAGGCAACTTGATGGAAGCATTCTCTTCCTTTCGTGAATGTAGAGCATCATGTACAGTATAAAATACAAATCCATTTCTTGCTTATCTTCTCCCATTCCCTGTTGTAAAACATAATCAGATTTTTGCTTCAAACAGTGAAGGAAAATTTATTTGATCAGGCAGTTAATATATATATATATATATATATATATATATATATATATATATATATATATATATATATATATATATATATATATATATATATATATATATATATATATATATATATATATATATATATATATATATATATATATATATATATACTATGAACTTTGGAATTTTCAGCAGGCCAGGTTGTATTAATCTCAATAACTCTCAAACATAGATGTCATAGATGCATTTTTTAAACATCTGTTTTGGTATTTTGCTTCTCTTTATCTTTCACTGAACCTACTTAGTTAAAAATGAATAATGGTTTATAAAATACAAAATACATATTCTAAAAATTGTTTCTTTCATCCTATATCATGCTCAGCATTAATTTATGGTGATGTTTATGCATAGAATCTGATACCCATATTAGTGTTTGCAAAAGTTAAGAGTATAAAGTGTGAGAGTATAGCCATGACCTTCATAATCTAGTTATACAAACTTCTCTTAGGCTACTGTAGAAGCATGTAATGAATGATTTAGTTTGACCTTTCAATTATTAAGATATTATCAGATAATCAAGTAGAGACCCTATATTTCTTGTTGTATATTATTTTCAAACTCTTATAGAAGAATGAAAGTAATCTGACGTAGAACAGAAAGAATGAAAAAAATTAATATTTATAAGCAACATACTAATTCAATAATTCAATATTATTTTTTTTATAAGCATCAAGGAATATATTAATTGAGAACATTCAGGGTGTTCCAAACCTTTTACAAAAACATTCCAAAATAAGAATCAAACATTAAGATTACACATAAAGATACCTAGGATAGAAAAGAAAATAACATATAAGCACACTCTTATGATAATTAATTAATAATCAATTAATAATCAATTAAAAATGTTAGACCTTCTAGATTTTGCTTTCTACATTATATTGTAGAATCAGTCCATTGGTTGTAAAATAAGAATTTATTGAAAAAAAAATGTTAGTTTTCAAACGTTGATCAACAATTTTTTATTTTCTCATTATAGGTACACATTTTTACTTTCTCATTAACATTCATAATTGCACAATTTTTTATTTTCTCATTAACGTTCATAGGTACACATTTTTACTTTCTCATTAACATTCATAATTGCAATGTAACGTTCAATTTTTGTTAGCAAATGTCACGCACCAGCGCCTGCTTGCCCCCTGAGGTTGGTTGCCTCTTTCAGGATCCTCAGCGTCACTTCTCTCGCAAGATCGCCCGGTTGCCCTAAGTAGGGGCGCTGAATGCCAGCATGTTGGGCCTTTGAACTTATTTTTGATCTATTTAAGGATTTGCACGCCCTAGGGTTCACATCTTTTGACGACTGAAGCTCTAAAACATACATTTTGACCCTTTGGAGGCAGATTTGGCATGCAGGAGTTATCCTCTTCTCTTTCTAGGGATTTTATCTCATTCTTCCATCATTGTACACCTAGGTGAATTTAGAGAGTGACATTAACAATTTAATGAAGAAGATGAATTTTTATATGCATGAAAGTAAGGACGGTGAGATCTGAACCCCAACAACATTATCATCTTATATTATCAACATCATCCATTCACTCTTGTGTTTAGCCTCAATTGATCAAATTTTACATTCAAGTTTGCAATTTAAATCATTGGAATCGTTCTTTAGTGTTAATTAGTTAAGATATTACATGATTGTTTAGGAGCACGAGTCTCTTGGGAAACGGTACTTGGTCTTACTATTTTATATTACTTGATACGATTTGGTACACTTGTCAATGAGTTAACACCTATCAATGTCAATACACTGTGATTTCCAATCGACAATAACTATAGCTAAAAACAAGAATTACAATGGAAAGAATAGACATATACAATTAAGACACAATTTGGTGAAGCAAATACTAAAGAATGGAACTATTTGCATTGATTATGTAAAGTCAAAACGAAATCTAGCGGATCCTCAGTAGACACCAATCTTTCTCATCTTCATCGGCATCCATTAGTAGATGCCTAATCACCTAACATCCATCAGTAGATGTCTAGTTACCGTCCTCTTCCATAACAACATCCATTAGTTGATGTTGTCATTCATCATCCTCATCATAGCAACATCCATCAGTAGATGTTGTAGAAGCATCCATCAGTAGATATTGTAATTACTGCTATCAGAAGCAACATTTAACCTAAAACAAACTCAAACACACACAATTAAATCAACTAAAAAGAAAACTTCAGAAAATTGGGCTATCATTCATCGTAGCAGCATCCATCAGTAGATGTTGTTATCTGAATCCTCTTAGCATCCCTCAGTAGATGTTGTCCAGCATCCATCAGCAGATCCTGTCATTACTGCAAAAAAAAAATCAAATCCACACCACGCAACTAAATAAAAAAAAAATCAGAAACCGGGTTGCCTCCCAGCAAGCTCTTCTTTAACATCACTAGCTTGACCCACTACAATTTCCCTGTGCCTCAATTATTCCCTTTTTTGGATATTTTTTTCTTTTTGTTGAATTTTTTCAGGAATTTAATATAACCAGGAACCTATTGCAGTGTCCCAATCATAGGAATTTTAATCTCCAATTTCTTGAAGATATCCATGAAACGCTCAAACTTTTTTTCCTTCTGCTTCCTATAATACTTCTTTTGGTGAGGAAGGGGTTTTTCATATGATTCTTTCTTTTTTCTCTCATTCTCCTTCTCTTTCTTTTTCTTTTCTTCCCTCTCTTTTTCCTCCTTGGGGTATAAAATATTTTTCTCAATTTTTTTCTTTTCTCTCTTAGCCTCTTTTGTTTCTTTTCTCTCAACCTCACTTTTTCTCTCTTCTTTTTCTTCCTCTTCCTTTACATCTTTCTCTTTTTCACTCAACCTTTCTTCTTTTTTTCTCTATTTTTCTCTCATCTAATACTTTGTCTCTTCTAGTGATAATAGCTTGACATTCCTCCTGAGGGTTAACTTCCATATTGCCCCCAAAATCATCCAGCTTCTGAAGTATGTGACCAAGCTCCATCTCCATTTTTCTGAGTGTCGCTTCAGTGCTTTTGTGATGACAATCTGACATCCGCATTAACTGTTGAAGTGTTCCGTCCATCTTAGCCATTCTTTTTGAGAGAGAGGGTTGTTGTTGTCATTGTTGTTGTAGAAGCCTATCAAATTGTTCGGAAGCTTTCCCAAATTGACTTTGACCCATGTTTAAGTGAGGTTTCCACCAGTGGTTGAAATTACCTTGGTGGAATTGAGTGTCCATATAGTTAACTTCTTGTCCGAATTGCATCTTGCAAGCACTAGACACAAAACCCTAGAAAACACTGTTAGCACAAAAACAAAAACAAACGACACCAAACACAAATTAAAAATAAAATAAAAAAATAAAAATAAAAATAAAAATAAGAAAAATAAAAATAAAGTCAAAGTTAATCAAGAATCACATAAATAGAATAGTTTAAACCATGAGTCCTCGGCAACGGTGCCAAAAACTTGTTAATGGATCAGACGGTGTACCGAATCGCACAAGTAATATAAAATGGTAAGACCAAGTATCGTATCCCAGAGGACTCTCGACACTAAACAGTCGTGCGATAACTCGATTAATTAAGACTTAAAGAAAACGAGATCATTGGTTTCAGATGCAAAGACAGAAAATTAAATATGAATGCAGTTTGATAAATAGCATAATAGCACAATGATGAACGAATGTTGTTTTTAATATGAGATGAGTATGTTGTTGGGGTTATATTTCACCAAGTTCCCTCTCATGTATGTAAGAATTCTTCTTTATGCATTAATGTTAATGTCACTCACTAAATCACTTAAACCCGATCCCTCAGTGAAATAAGCCTGTTCTTATTCACCAGTTCATGCAATTCCTAGCATTCCTAGTAATTAAATGTGAAGATCAAGAGCTTTAAGACGACCAAGACTCATACCCTTATCGCTGAGAAATATTACTCTTGGGAGAAATTCAACAAGAACTTGAATTATAAGGAACCTCCCAACACTCATACAATTCATAAATCATGCTAATGAACGAGTTAAACAAAGCAAGCGTTGTAACAGATGAATTACTCTAACAATTAATGAAAAAGCATGTGTTATTAGGCATTAATACAAATACATGAGAGTTCACAAGGTTACATCATCCCCCAACAACAAATAGAGTTTAGTTCACCATAAACTAGATGAACAATGGAGAAGAATGAGATAGAAAAACCCTAAAAGTAGAAGATGGAAGCTTCTGCATCCAAATCCGCCTTCAGAGGGTGAAGGAATGTGTTGTTGTGCTCCTCCAGCCAAAGATACAGAACCTAGGACATCTGGGTAGTTTAAATAGAGCGACAAAAAACACAAACAAGGCCCAGGCCCATGTTGCTGGCGCTCAAGCGCCCCACTTAGGGCGCCCGGGTGGTCAACAGTGGTTTAGGGCGCTTAAGCTTCAGCAAGGGGCGCCCAAGCTTCATGCTTCTGGCGCTCAAGCGTCCCAAAAGGGGCGCCCGNCTATCCTCTTCTCTTTCTAGGGATTTTATCTCATTCTTCCATCATTGTACACCTAGGTGAATTTAGAGAGTGACATTAACAATTTAATGAAGAAGATGAATTTTTATATGCATGAAAGTAAGGACGGTGAGATCTGAACCCCAACAACATTATCATCTTATATTATCAACATCATCCATTCACTCTTGTGTTTAGCCTCAATTGATCAAATTTTACATTCAAGTTTGCAATTTAAATCATTGGAATCGTTCTTTAGTGTTAATTAGTTAAGATATTACATGATTGTTTAGGAGCACGAGTCTCTTGGGAAACGGTACTTGGTCTTACTATTTTATATTACTTGATACGATTTGGTACACTTGTCAATGAGTTAACACCTATCAATGTCAATACACTGTGATTTCCAATCGACAATAACTATAGCTAAAAACAAGAATTACAATGGAAAGAATAGACATATACAATTAAGACACAATTTGGTGAAGCAAATACTAAAGAATGGAACTATTTG